ATACATTTCTTCAATTAAAGACAGCTTCGTTCGAATTGATGTAAGTTGTATACGAACATAGCATACAAAGGAATTATACTCTGATGTTCAATGCTATACATGACTATATTGCTCAAATCATGAGGTATTCACTGTGAACGTAGAACGTCTTGCAATTGCAACTAAATACCACAGGGATCGCCCGTGCTTGTATATATGCAGATAGTCTCAGTCTTGAATTGATTTGAAGTAAATTGCATTACCGTAAAAACTAGGAATCCCCGTTGTCACTAAATGTCATGACGAGGATGTCACTGATAACGTAGCATTGTCACGACGCGTCAGTTGTATAATGGAACTCACAGAGTACTCATTTATTATTTGTAATATTAATTACATCTTGATTCATTATCGGGTTTTAATTAATTGGTTCATGAAAGTGATGCTTGTGTTTACATGTACAATTTTTATAGTACAGGGCATAACAAATGTTTTTATATGTACATTTTAAATTGTATGCCAATTCCAGTAAGTATATTCGAATGTCAATACAAATAATAAAAAAATACGTCACACGGACAACTTTAACTAATAATTGAGTTAGAAAGTCTCGACATAAGACCTTTTCTTGTGTCTACACCCACCTACACAGTCATATTAAGTTCCATTATCCATGCCCACTTCTGTTAAAAGGTTAAACATATATTATTCATTCCCGGATAAGACATGTTTAAAGATCCTACATAAAGAAGAACGTAGTCATGCAATTTTTTATCAGTGTTGCCTGATACATACATTTGATACTAATTCATCATGCGCACTGATTGTTTCTGTATTTACAGTGACTAACAACTACTGCAGATGCGTAGTAGTGTTTAATTTACGATAAATACAAATCCAATTTTGTCTTCAACACGTACTACTAAACACAAATATATAACAACTAAGAAAGGACCTGCTATAACGAAGGTGATTGCTCAATAGATGTCGTCGTAGACGACTTACTCTTACTGTAAACACACATTCAACCACATAGTGTAAATGTCCTCACAGTTCCCCCCCCCCATTCACCTTTGTCATACGTTCTACTTCATCCGAGTAATGAGGGCTCCTCGCATCATTTCCCGATATTAATAATAAACCACGCCTACCAAGTAGACACTTCATATTCGTTAGAGACAGCGTACTAGTGGTTGTAATGATCATGCTGTGATTGTATTGAATCTACGATTGCTCGGAGTGTTGCCATGGAAATATGTATTCGCACTAATTGTACATTGTTGAGTGCGTTGTACTATGTATATCTATATATTGAACATTTTCACTCGGCCGTTTACTTTACGATGAGGTGAAGTGTAAATCGGGATGTAATATTCTTATCCGATACTTGAGAGGAAATAATTAACAGAAGAGTCATCCCACAGTGTAGCTGTAGCCACGAACAACTGAGACACATATCAAACCACACGGCCAATAATTTACTGTATTTACAGAGAATGCAGTAATTTGGAATTATGAGAGATCGCTGAAATATTCGTTAACAAATTTGCAAGCTAGACACCGAGAGAGAACAAAAAATGCATCAAAGGTGTTGCAAAGAAAACTGTTAGATGCACAGGCTAGACACTTGGAGAAAATTGCTCCGCACAGAATCTTATAGCTACCACCATGAGTTCGAGTGCGTGACCCCGTATGTTCAATAATATAATTATATATATATATATTGAATAAGTAAATAAATAAATAACTTTATATATAAATAAATATAAGTAAATAAATAAATAAGTAAATAAATAAGTAAGTAAATAAATAAATAAATAAATAAATAAATAAATAAATAAATAAATAAATAAATAAATAAATAAATAAATAAATAAATAAATAATATTTCTAGAGTTTCTGTTATCATTTTAAGCAGCAATAACGGATGTGAGTAATCTACTGATTAGTTTTACTGGCGTTATCCACGAACAGCGCCTGAAGCTTGCAACGCGCTCATTTCATAAAAGTATGCAAATAGGCAATTCGACGAACTCCATGGTATACGACCAATTAGCGAGACATGCTTGAAAACATGTCACTATGGCAATTAGATACAACCACCAACCGATATATGTTCCTTCGCATACCATCTGTGGATGGCTAAGGCACAGTTTTTTTCATGTATATATTTCGCATAACAAGGGTAATCGATTTATATACGCCACATCTTGTAATATATGAGGTAGTGTAATTTATTAACATACTTAAATCTTTCAAGATGGTAAACTACTCTATTACATAAGCTTGGCTCATGACGTTAGTCTCATAATAAAACAGCCATAGTCGTAGCACAGCACTACAGTGCGGCGCCAGTCTTTATGTAGTGTCAGTCGTCACACAGTTTTAGTCGCCACGCATCGTCACAGACGTTACATAGCGCCATGGGAGTCATGCAGCGCCACGGTCGTTGCATAGCGCTAGGGGCGTTACGCAGCGCCACATAGTGCAAGGGACGTCACGGTCACGCAGCGCCACTGTCGTACATAGCGCAAGGGCGTCACGCAGCGCCACAGTTGTTACATAGCGCAAGGGGCGTCACACAGCGCCACAATCTCCTTCCCAGAGGCCTTTGCGCTTTACGCAATAGTGCCTCTGCCACAGGCAGCCTTCAATTTTGTGGTCAATCACCTCACTACGCACGGTCATTTTTCCGCGGTTGTTTCATTTGAAACCGAACTACAAAAAATGGGAAAAAACGTACGTGACATCCGAACTATTTATTAATGTCAGACTTAAGTAAAAACGTAAATACGAACCATTTTATCGCGGACTATGTTTTGCAAGGTAATGTTACTGTAGTGAAATGGCGCACGTGATACACTAAAACTGGGGAGAAAAAACGTTCTGTTAACGTATATAGTTGGGAAAGAAACATTAAAGACTAATTTCACTGAAAGGAGTTTTCTAGCCTTTCCGTTTATCTTGTATTCTGGTGAATATTTCAATACTATTTCTGGCTTGAACGGGTTCGATTTTGCGCGTCTAACAGCCATAGAACACAAAGGTTCTAGTACGTTTATAAAGTTAGTCATTTATAGTAGAAACTAATGCTTTGGCATGTAGGAAAGGATCGTACTTTTCTAACGCAAGTCTTGTATATTTTAATCTAATTAACTGAACATTTTATTCGGAGTCGGGCGTGAAACGTCTTATTAAAATGATTAATGTAACCAAGTGACTTACGCCTAACTTTGTTAACCGACTGGGTCTTATAGTTCGAACATATTCGAATATGCAAATGAGTCATATGCAAATCTGCTTTGTGCAGTGATGATAAGTAACGCGTATCGAACTGTGCGGAGTTCGACAGCGCCACGGTCGTTACATAGCGCCAGGGGCGTCACGCAGCGCCACAGTCGTACCTAGCGCAAGGGGCGTCGCGCAGCGCCACAGTCGCATATAGCGCAAGGGCGTCACGCAGCGCCACAGTCGTTACATAGCGCAAGGGCGTCACGCAGCGCCACAGTCGTTACAGAGCGCAAGGGACGTCACGCAGTGTCACAGTCGTTACATAGCGCCACGCAGCGCAGTGCGACGACTGTGAAGTTTTAGATGTCTTTCAAGTCGACCATTGTGTTTGATTGTTTAGCCGTCTTTGATGAACGACTACATATCAGAACGATACTGACGCTTTAAATGAATTTCATGTCACCCATTCACGTCATTAAAAAACTTCGTCACTAGAGGGCGCGTTATATAGAAAATGTGTATTCATTCTCAGTCTCTCCCCGCTGGGACTAATCACATATGTAAACTTAAAATATTTGGATACAAATATGTTGGACTGAAAAGTGTATTGTAGCTAATTATTTTACCAAGGATAAGACTAATAAATTAATTATGTACAAATAAAAACATACTTTTTTCTCTATATACCTTGTCTATTACACATCATTAGAGGCATAAGTAAAGTACTAGCTAACTAGTACTAAAGTACTAGTACGGTACTAGCACTGTTTCGCCGATTGAAAAGGCCTTGCCATATACAATTTATATATGTACTGTGTCGTCAAACGAAAGTGAACATAACGGCACGAGAAATTCATTTATTTTCAAGTTCCATTATATGGGGTTCGGAACGGATTAAAAAGTCTGGTCGTCATGTGATGTTGACCACAAGCTGTGGACTGAGTTTATATAATTGAAAATTAAAAAAAAAAGTTTCGTAGGATTGATGTCAAATGAAATATGGGTCCAATGCGATGGATAAAATACTTTTAAAATACCTTGACGAATGTGGCACTTCATTCACATAGAGAAACGCATCGATCACCGGGGGGGTCCGACTTGTGGAAATACCTGGAACCCATGTCTGTGAAAGGGGTTTTCAAAATGACCATAAACACGTTTTAAAAGGTCGACATTTTGTACCCTTTTCACCCACAGCTAAAAGATCACGCACCTTGAACTCGCGCCTGATCTCGTGATATTTGAGCTTTCTAACCCTTCAGTGTAAGCACGGGTTGGTCATATGCCGTGATCGCCCGTGATCGAGGGTCGTTAACCAGGGGGTCGGACGTTTTCCTCTTGCGATCATTGAATTCCTTAAAGCAATATTTTGACTGAAATGGTTACCCTAAACGCGTAACACGCGTTAACTTGCTTTTCTTTGCGCGACCCTGCTGAATCTAGAACAATGCCCTGGGTAATGCGTGTAAATATCAGGAAAAAAAAATACTTCAAAACGTATAAAAGTATCTTCAAGAATTCCTGCGTTGAAATCCAGTGCAAATATTAACAGACAATGGCTACAATTCGTATTTGCATATATTTTAACTTGAGGTTGAATTCTGGCTGAACCAAAGACACTAGAAAATCCTTTCTAGTGTCTTTGGCTGACTGAACCCAGGGTATGGACTGGATAAGACAGTGCAATGAATGCGGTAATACATGGCGATGACAGGTATCCCATGATTGGTATATCGTGCACTGATATCATAGTATTACAGTGGGTGGAATTCTTAAACCTGTTGTATTTCTTATAGCTGATCGGCGCGACTGACGTCCAATAACGACGCGTAATCTGGCAAGACTGGTACGCTTGGAGACACGAAAGTAAAACTCTTGTTTCCCAAGTTTTTCGAATCTTTCAAAATTTTATATCCGAACATGGACATAATTCGTTGGCCACATGCATTCTCTATCGCATTTATAGCATATGCAGTAAGCTTAGACCGCCAAGCCTGTGAGGTCGCTTTCGAGTTCCTCTTTGTCTGGTACGGGTATTTATGCTTGTCCTTAGTCTGGGGCTCTTCTCCGGTATTTTTCCCAATCCATTCATAAACATTTGGATGTATAGGAATATTCATGAAATTAAATATCTCTTTCGCGGTTTTAAACGGTTTTTCGGCGAGGTCTTCATACCTGACTAATTTGTAGTTGTTACGCACCCAAAAAGGGCCGTTGAAACCTTCTTGGGCGTTCCTTGCCATCCACTGGCACGTATCTCGGGTAGTGTGTATAAGCTGTGGGTCCATCATCACCCCGCCCATCCCGTAGATTCGCTTATTGGTCAAGTATTTCAACTTCAGACGTGAATGTACCATTCCGCGTGGGTCTCTTACCAAATGCAAAATTTTGATATTTTGTGAAGCGTTTCTAACGTACTGCCACATGTCTCGTATATTCTCGACACGGATAGTTTTTAGTGAAAAATGCCGCTGGTTGTTGCATAGTTCTCTGAAAGTTTTGCGAGTAAAACCAGGGCTAATTGAGTTCGATTGTTGTAGTCCCATCCATTTCTCTCGATTCAGATACTGTACAAAATAATCAGACGTGTCGCAGTTCAAAAGTCTGCCAAGAAGTCGGATCATCTCGGATGTGAACTTCCGTTTTTGCAAAACTCCGCTGCGGACCATTTGGTTGACAACTAGGAACGGCTCAAATAAATAAAAGAAATCTGGATGATGGTTGAACAACTCGCCCAAGAAAGATGAACCGGTTCTCATTTTAGCCAATATTATAACTTTCACACGGGTATTATTAGTAGAATTGTCTCCGTCTGTATCCAACGCATCGTGAAGATAGTCGCTCCAGGTTTCATGATTGAGTTCCAACTCAGGATTTATCGCACGATAAGGTTGACGGTCATGGAACGAATGAAATAGGGGCCTGCCGGGGTATTTGAAAAGCTGACGATGTCGGCTTAAGTCTGATTCGCTCCCGCGTAATCGCTGGATCATCGGTGAAACGTATTTCAATCTCGGTGCTATGGCGACAATAAGGAAGGCGACGGCCATAGACAGTAAGAAAAAGAACAAAGGCAGCGAGCTAACGCGACATATCATGATAATGTCAACCCCGGCGGACTTATATGTTATATGATTTATATGTTACAAAGATAAGACGACAAAAGAAAGTCTTGTTTCGGTGATCAGTGACACATGTATGTCGTAGCAGAATATTCATGACATTTTTTTCCGTAGTAGATAAATTATTCCCCTGCTTTGATCAAAAAAGTACTATAAATCCCATGATCTAAGTCAGCAAAGGATAGTATACGTCATCAGTATGTGTAATTTAAATGTCATAACCAGAAAATCTATCATACAACCATATAGTTAGTTTTCTTTAACGATATACCGAACAGTTTCTTTGAGCGATTTTCTCACTTCGACCGTGACCCCGCTAGTGCCCCGTCTCAGCTGTCGGTGGAAGCTATATTATATACGAACCATATAACGCCGCCGCAATCAATGGTACACAACGGCTCTTGAACTTGAAAGCATTCCCTGATTAGCGCTGACGGAGAAAGCACAGGTTACTACTTAATTCCCGTGAAATCAGAACGACCAGAAAGCTGAAGATGTCGGAGCAGGTTTCAAATGTTCCAACTACTAGAGCAGATTTGCAAATAAAGATCATAATGGCTGCCCTCTTTCACGCGTCTCACATGACTCGAGTATCCGTGTGTTTCGCTGGCAGCTAATATGGAGACATAATGCCTCCCCGGTGACGAACGTATATTTAGTTTCGACAACAGCAGGGGTGACTGAATTTTACACAAAACGGCTACAGAAGATGATATCTTAAACCCCCATCAGTAGTGTATCTATTGTTTCCTGAAATGTCTACGCGTGCGCTGATAGATGCGCGCGCACATTTACATCGTTGTTCCCGAGGCCATTCAATTAGCTTATATCGTCCGAGAAACTACCTATTAACGTTGATCACGGCTATGGATGTAATTATCGAATGAACAATGGGTAATATTTTATCTGATAAGTTTTTTGTATTTAACAACAGAAAATGCAATCATTGAAACGACCACAAAGCGTCGCATTTGGCAACCGGCACATTTATTATTGAAAGAAACATTTCCCCTGCGTACCGCTCATCATCGTGTTATCTGATAGTGTGTGACGTTTAACCGACCAATCAGTGTGTGCCGGTATTATTTAAATTGACTAATGTAATTTCCTGACGACTGTGTGTTTCTAGTGACGTCTGAAGGGTAATCCGTAATTTTCCCACGAAGCTTCACGATTCTGACAAACAAACGGTAAACACTACAATAACGTGATGGCAGTAATACAATTACTGTAAGTACACCTGCGGGGAAAACTTTCAGAAAGTGAACTTCCCTTTTGCGTCATGACGAAGAAGCCGTATATGAAAGTTATTTTCCACTACCCTTTTTGTCTGCGTATTGTGATTTATGTTGTCCACAATCTGAATAAAATAAGATCCTAGTTTGTGGACTATCCTCTTTTGCTTCTATTTTTTAAATATATATTTAATTTTATATTAGATTAAAATTTATTTGTTGGCAATCTTTTTAAAATTATACCGTGAAACCCGATCCACACAAGTGGCGATAGTTATTAAAATAAAATATACGCAATAACAAATGACAAATAATCAGAATATAGGCTAGTACAATGCGTCAGATTTTAATCAGAAATCTGGAAAGTGTATACAGCCACTATTTGTTACTCTGATATACGAATATAGATAAGCACAGCCCGATCAGAGGATGAAAAAATAAATACAGAAATATTTACATTAAATTTTCTGCAAAACTCAACTACGCGATTTGGAGATTTTCCAGAACATACTGAGTGATAATTACAATACCACGATGAAGTGAGGAAATTAAACGGTATTATAACAAACACTTTGTCAATGGAACTATTGAACACAATACTTAAATCAGTAAGAACGTTGTCATGGTAACTGGCATATATTAAACGATTGGTTATACCTGATTACATCAAATGGGACGGATACATCTGCATTCTTGACTCCGCGTCGGAAGCATTCACGTCATTGCTTTGTACGTCATTACACACTATATAAAACGTATACAAATAATGTCATACAGGCAAGACATAATGACTGACCAAGCCAGGCAATCCCTAAACACACATGATCATATTATACTAGTATATATACATTTTTATAACAATTCTTTGCTCGAGTATAAATTAGTAAAACAAGAAATGTAGTCACACAAGTAAATACATTTTTAAGAACTCAAATGAAACTACTTTTGGTTTCAGTGAATGTAATTTCATCACAGGCAAATCAGAATATTGTCCGCTAAACCTTTTTTTCTTGTAATAATAATAACATATTACTAGTATATACACTTTGTCCAAATACGTCCAAAAAATGTATAAATATTTTAATAATAATTTACTATTATTAGGTGACGTGTCACGTGACTTATTCATAATGTTCACGCGTCACTCATCTATAACAGTCACATTATGTTATCTATCATACATATTCTTGACATGTATATGCATATACGCATGATGACGTCATGGGTAGGTCACGTGTTCATTCCTGTCACTGTCTCATCCACCAGCTCATCAGACCGCCGTAGGTGTGACAGCTGGATTCATGACTGCCCCCATTACATCGTGAGTGGCGCTCTATACTGTACGTAGTCTGGTCTATACTGTACGGCGACACATGATGGGACGCTGAGGGCCCGGGCGTGTGAGGTAAACTATTACTGGATATACTGGATGTCGCCGAAGATATTGTGCCAATAATTCAACTTAGAAATACCAAGAGTCTAGAGTTTGAAGTAATACATGCGATATAACTTGTATAGAGGGCGCACTCACGCAGACATGTTTGACATTGATAGAGAAACACAACAGGCCAGGGGAGCCCATAAATTGTATGCCCATTCGCTATGCGGGGGGAGGGGGATCAGCTGGAATATTATACAAGGGATAACCAGCGAACTGGAAAAAACAGACGAAAACAATGTAAAATAAAATCTATAAAAAATAACAGCTTGAAGAATATTATTTGCTCCTTCAAATTTCACCAAAGACTTTATTTTACTTATATCGGCAGAATGAATGATCAAGAAAACTACACAAATTGACTCCAACCAATTAACGGTTATACAGAAAGCATGGTACAGTACAGCAAAGTTGGAGGCGGTGCCTAATTTGGGAATTTGTCAAAAAACAATCACAAGAATGATCACGGACGAGGCTAACCAAGTCGTAACTCGCTGTGAAATTTGAACGAACAACTAATATTCTTCAAGTTGATATTTTTTATAAATTATATTTTACATTCTTCTCGTCTGTTTTTTTTTCACTTTAAAAACATACGGTCTCGCTGGACATTTATTGCACTAGATTCAAGCCGACCCCCCCCCCCTCTCGCTTGTATAGACTACGCTAACAATTGATTATAGTTCCTCAGTCTGAAGCAGTTGGCTTATGAGTTCTTCTGGCGTCTGCTAAAATACGAGAAGGGGAATATTTCAAATCTCAAATAAAATTTGTGTTACTCTTTCACCAAGTATTTCTCTCGGTGAACGACATGCCTGACAGACCACCTTATATCTCAGAAAAGTCAAGTTAATGATTTAGTTTTGAAACTTGAGGTCTCCGTGTAAACAGTTTACCGAGTGAAGGTTACTTTCACTCGGCTCAAACTGTTAGGACGATGCCATGATGTTACGGCTGTCATAATAAGTCACATGACTAAATGTTTAGTACATACAACATGTAGAGCAGTTTCACTGCCACAGGCTACGAATCTCCAGTGGTAATGTTATTCTTGAAACAGGTAATAATTTAATTTCCATTGATTAATTCCCACGTCGCGGTGAATTATATAGGTCAAATGTTACATTGACCATTCCGGTCAAGCAGTATACTAGTAACTAGTACGCAAACCTGCCACAAAGCCCGCGAGAAAAGACTACTGCTAATCGACTCGGAAGTAAAGAAAATACAGTGTATTTGAATTAAATTTGCAGAGATGATCAGTTCAGAAATGTTTATTCACACTCTTGTATTTCGACAATTATATGCCTTTCCAGGACTAGTTTAATTTGCAGTCTGTTGATATTGATTTAGAAAAATATATATTTTTAAAGATTTGCATCGACAGACGCACCAGACGCATTTTTAACAAGTTTATATTTGTATTGGTTGTGTATGTATAATAGATATTAGATTTTATAATCGTATCAGTTATTTATACATGTAATTGTATTTAATATTAAATAAAAATAAATACATCATGCTTGCAACATACGCAACGAGCCTGAGTTATTATTAGATGAATGTAAATACGCCATACTTGTAAGGTGTGAGTTATTGGTAAATAAATATAAATGCGCGTAAGAGTTAAAGCCACATGTAAATGCATACAAATACGCTATTATATTAGTAAATATATTTAAAATCATCAATAATTAAATCTAAATATATGTATATAACTGCAGGGATAGGATATAAAACATGTGTGTCGTCGAAACTATTTTCGGGGTGGCGAATGGTGGCCGACTTCCGACTTCTGACGTTGTACATAATACGTGTCGCATTTTTTGTAATTCAACTATTCTATTGTTTTACTAGAATAAATGTGAAAAAGTTGTCTCTTCTAGTTCCCTTCTGTTAACGATTCCACAAACATCTCAAGAATGACCACGTATCATTTTCTTTACTGAACATGAACAAATAGTTGTTAAGAATTGAGAATAGTTGATATCGTCACAAAAAGAAACAATCTAAATTATAGAGATTAACCCAAGATACATATTATTACAGTCCCTCTATCCCGGGACTGTGATATTATGTATCAAATCACTAGTATTCAAGAAGTCGTCGGAAATAGCAGTTTTGACAAAAAATACCCAAAACATTCACAAACATACAATATCGACACACAATCTGGGAGAGACCCACCAAACAAAGGTAGTAGTATACCAAACTTCAAAACACTCGGGCTATTGGTTTTCAATTGCAGTTTGCAA